TTATTTCAGGGGCATTTAGACAAGGGTATCCACGGACAGAAGGTCAGGACGGGACCGCTTTTTGACTGCTACAACTGACAAGCCCTGCTCAGGTACGTCTGGCTACGGCAAGAGTCCAACTGTTGCCAACTGGGAAAGAGGGAACATTAAACCGGGCAGGAGCAGAGTTGTGCTCGGATTCGCTGGCCAAGATGTGGGTCACGAAGTGTGCAGGCATCAAGGCAGGTACAAAGGTGGGCCGAAAGGGAAGGTGGAAGGGACAGCTCAGGGAAAGGCATGCTGTCCTCTTCCTGCTACCTTGCAGAAAATCCACTCCTGCCAGCAAAGGCTGGGTGTCTTTTGCTGCTCCTCCACAGAGTAAACAAGGGCATTTATTTTTAATCTGTGTAGGTATGCAACATTTCATCGGGTTGCCCACGTAACCAGAACAACATCTGTGGACAACAGTGCTCATTCACGGGGTGGGAGAAGGAATGCAGGGCTAAAAACAGCAGGGCTGGCCACAAGCCCAGGTATTAGAGGACAAAAATTGTCGAGCAAATGATTAGACGCTCGAGAGTGGCTAGAAAGGCCAGGAAGGGGTGCAGCATTCACCCCCCCACACAAAAAAAAAAGTCTTGATGCACATTAAGAAAAACCACTCTGTCTGATATCCTTATGAAAGAGATGCTATTTGGGGGAAGGAACAAACCTGCCACCTGGTCCGGTTTGCAGGCGATTTAATCCAGCGTCACCCAGACCTGTTGGAGCACGCTCGCTCAGCTACCAAAACCGGCGCAGCTTTCTGCAGCTGCAGCCAGAATGCTCACGCAAAGATCCTTTCTGGCGTGTGGCACAGAGGCCGAGCAAAGCCAGTGGGTCAGGATGGCTTTGCAGCACTTGGGGGTTTGCAAATGAGAAGGACCCTTCCGAGCCTTGCTGATTCGGTCCTATATCTTGAAAAATGCATCCAAGGTGCAGAAAGCAGAGAATGGGATGGGAATGATCCGAGTGCAACTCCAATCTGGTGTCTTCCTGACATGTGGAATGACACCTTCCATCATCCCCAGTCAGCAGGAGTGTTTTATCAGCTAGAGCTCAGCTGGAGGTGGTGAAGGCATTCCAGGAGGGATCAGATGCAGTCCCTTACTCCCCTCCCATGGGGGTCAGAGCGAGGAAGGGAACCGAAAAAGCGCTCCGCCGGGCCCGAAAGATGGCTCTGCAAACCTTGCTGCTCTTTTCCCTCAGCTGGACGGACAAAGCCGGACCTGTTATACTGATTTCATTCAGCTATTATGACTAACGGTTGGGAAAGAGCCATCCTCTCTCCAGCAACTCGGGGTCTGGGCAGCCTCCTTCAATGAGCAAGAATGCCTCCCGCAGGCGACTTCCTGCTTTGACCATGGGATGGAGAAGGAAGGAACGCAGCACTCTTCCGCCAGCTTCATGCGATGCGCATCCTTGGCTGCCGATATTTAGGCAGGGCTGGTCTAAATGTTACCTTTCTACCTGGCAGGAGCACTTGCGGCCACACCTTTGAGCAGACACCTGAATGTCCAAACATCTCTGGCTCCAAGAGTAGCTTGCTCAAGCGCAGAATGCACCAGGCCATGTGGGACAAGTTTCATTCTCACTAACTGCCCCTCTGTGTTGACTGACTGCTACCCTCTTTTCTGCGACGCAAGAGGAGGAGGACAGAAAGAGGGACACCCCGCCCTGTTGGAAGTGCCACTGTCGGCCAGCATCCTCTGGAAATGATACAAGACCTTCTATTTTTGGACAGAGCCACGTGAACATACAAATTTGCCTTCTTCTGTCATCCTATGCTGTTGGCAGTCCAGGCTCAGAGCCTGGGGAAGGAATCATTCCAATCGATCGTTAATCTGTTACGCTCTTGCAATGGTACTTGGGATTCGGCCTGCAACTTGTATATGGAAAGCTGTGGCCTCCAACCCATAGGATCATGCATGGCAGAATCATTTCCTGAGCGAGCGCAGGACCTTTTCTCTAATAACGTTCCAGGCCAACTCTAGAAATATCCGCGGAGCAGGCCAAGAATGAGCCCAGGACCCTCTGGAATTTGCTTTCTTCACTCTGAGCTTCGTGTCGCTCTGAGAGGAAGGACCCTTGTGACACTGGAGGCCTCAGAGCAGAATGGATGAGGTCAATGGCAGCATAAGGAGGGACGTGCAGAATGAGGCAGGATGCAGCCCAGTGGATCCATCGCAGACCCTACCGTACTTTCCAGAGTTTTGGTGGAGTGGAAGAGAAGCATTCCCCTCTCCACCAAGAATTTTCAGAGCAGAGCCATATGAAATCTAATTCCTACCTTTACTTGAGCTATGCAATTTAATATCAATTATATAACAGCACCTTCCAAAGACCACTCAGTGATGGGCTTGCTGTTGATTATGACTACGCCAGTCCAGGACGGCCATTGTGCCCTGCCTTAGTCTATCGTCATTTGATTTGATGTGCTCTGGAAATGAGGTGACAGAAAAAGGAATTCCCACACACCTCTCTTCTAAAAAGTTCCAGGAACAAATGTTTGGAAGAATAGCAGGTGGCCGCATTCTGCGGTTTCCAGCTTATGCATTAAAAGCAGAACCTGAAAGCATGCCCTATTTCCCTTGATTTTAACGAAATCTTATAGCAGAATTCCCATCCAGATGGGCTGGCCTACAACTCTCAGCATTCCCCCAGGCAGCTACAGTGCCTGGAGATTCTGGGAGATGGAGTCCAGTCCGTTTTGAAGTCACCAGGTTGGGAAAGGCTGCCTCAAGGGATGGAGTTCATGCAGTTCAACATAAACAGACTTCACGTTATCCACACCCAGTCCTTCAAACCCGCCCACCTGACTTACCTCAATGAAGGTGTTCAGTGTGGCATTAGTAGGATTGTGGGTTATCAGGAACCTCATGTTCTTGTAGCAAACCTCGACGGGAGCAGGCCTGTTCATGCGAGCCATGGCAGGAAAAAATAGAACCAGCCAGGGGGGCAGAGCGGGGCAAAAATCCCAGAAAGAAAACGAAGTGCAGGGCAGCGGGAAAACAAAGTGACTCGAGGGTTTGGCAAAAGACTATCTTTCCCTCCCCAATCAACACAAATGTTGTGCAAATACTCCCAGCTTTGGGGAGAGTATAGGCTGGATTCTCTAAATCATCCAATTAGAAAAAGAAACCCTGTGCTTGATTGCTGAGTAATACTTAGAAAAAACCCTCTGTAGTGTCAATTGGTGTGTGCAATTTCGAGTAGTCGTCCTTCGGTGCCGTTCGGCTCCCCTTCTTAGCTCTTCCCTCTTTAGAAAGGCCTCTGCATTCGGTTAACCCACCGGTGTCCTTCCGGCGCTGTCACGTTACCCCATCTGGATATGTAAAATATTTTGGGCCAGCGACGGGAGCCCGGAACAACTCAGGCTGGGAGAGCAACCCGCAGAAGTCCACTTTTCGCGGCAAGAGCCATGCACGGGGGATCTGAATGGTTAAGCCCGAGGGCTCAGCGCCAGGTTCGAGCGGAGCGGTGGCGGCCTTCCTTCAGCGGGCGGGATGTTGCGCGTGGCAGTGCTCAAAGGTGCGCCCGGGCCCCTCCATAAATCCACCACCGATCAGCATACAAGACAATCTGCAAGAGCAAAAACATGCGGGGTGGGGGGAGAATGGAGTAATTCCCGGTCAGTGGAAGAACAGAGATCGAGGAAACGATCATGAACGTTATTAAACGGTTAGCACAAAAGTTGACTTCAGCAGGAACATGGGTCCCGTGGTCCCGCTTTACTCGGGCAGTTTTGCCAGCTGCAGAGCCGACTTTCAGGATAAAACACCCTCAAAACAAGAACGGCACGGAGACTTTGGCTACCTTGATCTCCAACAGAGAACTGCACACAAGACCACCCCTCTTCCTGCTGAGAGGTGGGACCCAAAGGGTTGAATCGCCGGTTTGAATTGACCCGCTGGAGTATTCTACTGTCACAGATGGGACACATGAGGTCACAATAGGGGCAGGGAGAGGGAAGAAACCCTCCCAGCCCAGGCTGAGCATGCCCCTGAGAGACGTACGTGCGCCACTGAAAATGCCACGAAGGGACTCGCAAGCGAGACAAGAACTAAGATGCTCAGAGGAGGGAGAAAGGAGCAGAGGCAGCATCGCCTTGTTGCGAGCTGACAGGTCTCTGCAGGAGGGATCTTCCCCCTCCTGCGGTTTGACAGGGTGAATGCCAGCTGGATCATTCCAGGCCACGCGGGAATATCAGGAGCTGCCCGAGAACCGGTCACAGTCAGTCACTCATCTAGCTCACAATTTTCTTCCATGACAGGCAGCTGCTGTTTTCCCCGGTGCCTGCAAGCTCGCACTTCTTCAGCCTCAGGCACGGGGGACAGAGATATCTCCACCAGGAAGCAACACCAGGCCACAGATTCGAAAGCTCCCAACAAGAGCTCCCGAGGCTTGGAGAAAAGCAGGCCTTGCCTCCAACAGGATCCAATCCAGATTCCCAGTTCAGCAGCTCCGACCCTAATTTGCACCACCAGTCCGGCTGAGTTCAGCAGGAACGACTCCTGCGAGAACTCACTTCAGATGGAAATCTCTCCCTGGGCCCCGACCCCTGGCATTTTTGCGTGCTGGTGAGCCACGCCTGACACTGCTTTTCTTGCTCGCGCGGATGCAAGATTATCCTTTTGCTTTCTCAGGCTTTGTGCAACTGGGGAGGGGGAGTGAGGGGTTGTCCTGAGAGGCGTTTCCGCTGTGCTGCTCCATCCAAAATGGTAGCTGGAGAACCGTGGCCTGTGGACATCTAAACCTGCCTCTTCCTGCTCTGCCCGTTTTTGGCATGGAGCTGAGTGGCCTGGTTGCAGCTGGAACTGCAGCCTGCCAAGATCCCCTTCCAGTTGAGGGCTGACTCACCACTCAGAATTCTGCTACTGGCCAACCCATCGACTGACGTGCGGCTGAGCGAGCCGCTGCTACAGAAGAGCAGTCTGGTTTGGTGACCTCGGATGGTTGGAGAGCTTGGCTCGAGTGACGCACAAGCATGCATGCATGAACTTAGCCTTGACCCAGACTCAACAGAGAGGAGACCCCGGCACAGAGCAGGCCAAGATCACATCTGCCCAAGGCCATCTTACTTCCCCTCTGTAAGTGACGGAAGGGTAGCTGAGGGCTGGAGTGGTTTTGCATATGGGTCACGGGAGGAGGGGCCAGCCCAGGTGATCAAGTGTCAAGGCGACTGGCTTGGATACCATGGGCTCACCCATCACACCTTGGGTCAAGGGTCAGCAGCAACAAGCTGGACCAACCTGGAGGTGCCTCCTGCTTCCAGGTGATCAAGTGCACCTATGCAAGTATGTGAGGACTCATGTCAACAGCCTGCATCCCACTGTAAGGGTTCAGGGCAGCTGTGTTGGTGTTCCTAGTCTGTGCCTTCCAGGTGGGTTGGACTGTCGCTCCCCAATGGCTGGGGATGATGGGAGTTGCTGTGATGGGATGGGAGTTACTTTACCTTCACCAAGAGAGTTGGGGAAGAATGAGAGCTCTTCTGAACAGGCAAGATGGCCTCACAAATCCAAACTAGTCAGGCCCATGCAGTTGAAGATGGCATACTCTCTCTTTCTTTCTTTCTTTCTTTCTTTCTTTCTTTCTTTCTTTCTTTCTTTCTTTCTTTCTTTCTTTCTTTCTTTCTTTCTTTCTTTCTTTCTTTCTTTCTTAAACAACTTGTATGCTGCCCCATCGCATGAGCCTCAGGGCGGCTTACAATCATTAAAATCCCATATAAAATACAAAAAATTCATCAAATAAATAAAATACAAAAAATAAAACAGTGGATTCAGCCTGGTCAATTTAAACCAACAAATAAACCATTACCAGTTAAAATAGCGTTTAAATAAAAAGGTCTTGGCCTGGCGCCGAAAAACAAGTAACTCTTACAGGGTTCCACCCGCCCCCCCATGATCGGTACCGATTATGGAACTGATAGTACCAGTGTGCATGCGGCCGTGGCTAATTAAGCTACAGTTTCCATGGCTACACATTGCGCAGGAGATGCTTCCTGTTTCTGCAAACAATTTCTGGGCTGCTTAACTCACAAACAAACCAAAACATTGAGTTTCGGAGGTGCTCTAAGTGCGTAATGCTAAGCCAACTTTACACGAGTTAAAGCTGAAGCGGTGGGCGCACGGAAAGCAGCGTGCCTGCTCTCCAGCGTACGCACGGCAACCAGTGGTATGAGCCAGCTCACAGGTCTCTTCCAAGGTCTTTCTGAGGGGCCCCAGTTGGGCAACGCTTAACCGAGGAAAGGTGGTGCCCATCTCCACTGGAGCAGCCCACCACTAGCTCTCCATTCCTTCCTTTAGTACTTTGCACTAGTTCGAGAAGATTGATACCTTGCGGTAGCTGCTTTGAAGTTTACTGAGCCCATCCTGCAGAGGGAGAACGCAGTACAGCAGCGGAACATGGGCTTGGCATGTGGAAGGTCCTGGCTTTAACCGCCAGAAATGCTTAGGCAGCACCTGATGGGGGAAGTCCTTTGTCTGTGAGTCTGCAGAGCTGTTACCAGTCACACACTGGACTAGGAGGAGAAAGGTTCTCGACCTGGTAATGGATGGATTCCTATGCAACTTGGTAAGGAGCAGCCAGCCTGTAGCCTTTGAGCACACGGTCTTGGCTGGAATTCTTCCCAGCTGCTCCGCAAGCAGAGGCTTCAACAAATGCCTCCATGGCACTGTTCACAGCACCCACGAGATGGACCTTAACGGGGACCTGAAAGCTCATCAACACTGCACTGCTCTGAACTCTCCTTCTTGAGACCCCTGGAAAAAACCAACACGATCTCTGAAATTAGCACTTTCCAATGATTAAATAGAGAGCTGCCCCTTTAACTCTGAGCCCAGATCGGACTGGGAGATTTCCCACATCTCCCCGCCTACTCCAAGCAAGAGAAGAAGTAATACAAAGCAGACCGCACAATTCCTCGGGGCGCCTACAGTCATGCCAGTTTGCTTGTGAAAGAGGCAAGCAAAACGAAGCGCATTCAGCAGAACCTAAAATGTGCATTCCATCACTGGATGGGCCAGAAAGTTGCTTTTACTCAGGCTTGCAAAGAAAACGATGAAACAAGCGAACCTAGTGAACATAGGCGGTTCGGAAAACAACCGCAAACATGGCCTATATTGGAGACTTCCAGCTGTCGGGGACGGGTGCGCACTACAGAATTTCCTGTCCCTCCCCCCCGCTTCCGAAAGCGACCCTGAGCCAGTCTTTCCTGCCATCTATTATCTTGAGCCAAGTCCTTGCCGAGAGATGCCAAGGTACATATTGTGCTCCCTGTGGAAAAGTGCAAATCAGAACAAAGTTACATGAAGCATGTTTACGAGCGTTTTGTCTTTATTTTTGGTATAGGATTCGGCACCGAACACATGGCTGCTGAAATGCTGGTAGGGAAGGCTAGCTAGCCAATTGTGGAGGCATGCAGAAAATCTTCAGGGTCTTGTTACAGACTGTAGCGCAAGAGAGAAGGGGGAGGGACTGAAAGGCCTGGGGGTGAGAAAAGTGCCCTGCGCCAGCCCCCAGATCTGGCCATGCAAGATCAGGGACTTCCCAGGTGGACTGTCCCATGTCTCTGAAAGGTCAGGAGGGTGCGTCAAAGAAACATGCCCGACACCGTTGGGAAACCCCCACCCCCCAGCGACCCACACCTTACCTTCTTCCGTTCAGAATTTCCCGATACGAGGTTCACACATGGGGGCAACAAGCAAAGGCACGCTCAGGTTCTGAATAAGCCGAGCGGCTCCAGCAACGAGCTGGATGTGCCCCAACAGCCTCGTGAGGTGGACTCCAAGCAGCTCCGTCTCTCGGAAGACAATGCCAACCCTCTGCGTGTCACCTTCGCTTTGCACGGAGGTGCTTCTCCCACTTCCTCAGCGGCATCGTCTTTCCTGGTCTCTGCCTCTCCTTCATAAACCAGAGGGGGACTCCTGCGGGCCGCCCAGAGCCACTTGTGGGGGATGGAGGAACCAGCGCGCACAGACCCGAGCGAGTTCCGGCAGTGAACTCGGAGTGCTGAAGCTCCCGGTGCGCAGGCAGAATGAGCCAGAGGCAAGCATCAGTTCCGCACGTCCCTCCCACCGATGGGCTGGGTGTGCCACGCGACCGTCACCGCCAAAGACATCCTGCCCTTTTCCATCTAGAAACCGCGGTGCTGACAGGACTACCAGCCTGGAAATGGACTGTGCTCACGGCCAGCACTACCCCCTCGCTTGGGTTGCAAAGCCCAGGCCATGGAGAGAATGTGCCAAGAGGTGGGCAAGAGATGTTCTAAGAGCTGTTCGACTTTGGAAGCAGCCCGGAAGAAATGTCCGTCTTAAGAACCTTTTGAACAAGAGCAGCTCTGTGAAGGAGGGCGGCCCCAGAGATGGAGCGGATCCATTTTAATGCAGGACACATAGTCAAGAGTGGCATGAAAGTCCTTGGCATGAGGTTGGCCACGGGTCTGTCTAACTTGGAACTGACCGGCTGTGGATCTGCCGGGTTTCACCCACGTGGCTGACCTACCTGGACATCTTGCGGCTCACACCCCAGATCTCTGCACACAGAGACCCCAGCACTGGGATGACAGTTCCATCCTAACTCAA